TATTATAAGCTGTTGAATTGCTAACGTAGTCCTTTTCTTAAAGTCTAGTAAAATTCTACGCTATACGACTTTATTAATTATATCAATAGACAAATATTTATTATTGTTGATTATTTGACGATGTATTAATTTTCAATTTTGATAAATTCAAATTTAGAGTACTATCAGATAAAGAATTAGACTGCAACTGCCAAGCTCAGCAATTTATCCAATGGGCTCGATCAAACTGTATTGAAGTTATAGCTACATGTTCTCGACCATATCATCTAAAAGGCAGTCCTGTCAGAATTTTGTATGATCAAGATCTCGGCTGTGCAGGTAAATAAGTTAAAATAGAGCTGAAATAGTTTTATCAAGAAATTTCATATTGCAGTTGTAACACATTTTGGGCTAGAAGTTGCAAAAAGCTTGGAGTCAATCTCTTGCCTTCGCATTAATTTATTATTACTATCGTGTGAGATATCAGCTATACCTTGCAGCCTTAAAATCATTCATGCATATAGGCTTACTGTAAGAACTATATGACTAGTAGACTTTTATATAAACCATGAAAATAAGATTATCTTCTAATATATTGCTATATTCATGAAATTCTTAAGTCGCAATAAGACTTTTTTTACTTTATTTTACAATTAAGCAGAAACAAAGCAAGGAGAAAGTAGATCTCGAAGAAAAAGATCTCCAGACGACCTTTCATATGCCTCCTCAGGTATTCAAATTGATTAAGTTAATTTAACTAATAATAACACGGGCTATTTTGGCTTCCAATCTGATAGATAGATTTTACTTTTATACCTGATGAAAGCTATTTTACTTTTCAAGATGATAATCTTGATTGTAAATAGTGTAGATTATAACAACCAAAAAGGTATAAAATAAAATAATTTTCGACCACTTTTGTCGTTTATTTCTTTCCTATTTTAGCTAAGCCTAAGCCTACAATCGAGTGTAATTTTCAAGTTGATTTATGTGGTTGGAAACAGTTGCAGAATATTGACTACTACGATTATATTTATGGTACTTGGAAGTCATCTAACACTAGAAATACTAGCCAAACCTATATTGCAGATCATACAACACGAACTGGTAAACTTATGTAGATAAGATAATTCTTCTATGATAAGCAATCATAATGCTGGTTATAATTTTAGAAATTATTTCTAACGGCACTGAAATAGACTTTCATTTAGTATATTTATAAAATCTTATCCTGCACTTGAGTCTCTACATGGTGCTGTGCCAATGCTCACTTTACGCAGTATAACGTTCTTTCTACCTAAAAATAGAACTTGAAGCTTCTTTATCAATTCAATAGTATTTGCAGATACTTATCATAATATATGTTATATAATTTAAATTATACAAGATGTGTTTGTTAGTACAGTAATATCCCCATACAAATAAAATTTCATTTTGTCGAAACAGAAAATGAAATTAAGCCATCAATTCAGAAATATTATAAATAATTAATTCTATCTACTTAAAATGATGTGATATTAATATCCGTCTCATAAAAAAATTTTCTTGCCTACAAAATAGAAGATGGAAGCTATTTATATTTGGAATCCGATCATAAACAAGCAAACTATTATGCCGATTTATTAAGCCCCTTGATGATTTTGCCAGTAAACATAACCAACGTTGTTGTAAGTTCTTTATTTTTCACATTATAATTTCATTTAGATATCGAATCAAGATTTACTGTAGCATCTTTGTGTTTACTCACCTCAACAACCGCAAAAAGATAAAGTTAAATAATAGAATACATATCTGAAATGAATGATATCAGTTCCGCTGAGAGATCTAAACTAAATAACTCTTATTTTGTAGCTTGAATTCTATAGTTATGATTACGGAAATGAATCTGGCAACATAGAAATCTGGTTAACTTATCCACAATATGACTCCAAACCACAATTAAAAGCCCGAATGAATTCAAATCCTATAGCAAATACCGTATCTGAGTGGCATTTCCATCGTCTCCATATCATTCCACAGCATCCTCAATACCAGGTGAGATTCAAGATCTAAGTACTGCAACTGTAGAAGAATCAACATCCCTGATAATAAATATCCAGGATCAATTAATTCTTGAATAATTCCATCAACATATAGATTATCCTCAGAACGCTATTTACCAATACATCCACCAGCAATAACGTTATTGCTATTGATGATGTCAAGGTTTATCCAGAAGGTAATCGATCATCTTTAATATAAATTACCCTTGTTAACTCTTCACTGAAAAGATTCCACTTTGCATTCTACATGTCAATAATAATTATTGATTTAATTTATTTGGGGTAGAAATTAGCTGCTATACTGGTAATGGTAGCTTTTATATCGGTAGCCAAAGTGAAAGTGAAGATGGATTAGCTTGTCAAGATTGGCTAGATCAACATCCGCATAGCCACAGCTTCATTCCTACATCTTATAGGCGATACCGATATAATTTAGATTACAACCGTTGTCGTAATCCTGATTTAATCAATCGAAATAGGCCATGGTGTTTAACGACCAATTCTAGTATTCAATGGCAATATTGTGATATCCCAAGGTGTTCAATGCCATCTCAAGAAATACTAACCGATATATTAGCTAATAAAAGTAAGTATGACGGACTACAAATCTGCAATACTTTGTAATTGTGATACCTTATAAACCCAATGATAGAAATTCATATAATCGTATTTACAATTTTACCATTTTGTCCTGCTAGCTACTCCTCCGATCTATCTACTCCCGACATTTCAAAATTATAGTCGTGTTGCAATCTATCACAAGGGTCGATGGGGAACAATATGCAATAGAAATATTAGCCAACAGCATGCAGATAATGTAGCATCAGTCATTTGTCGCCAGCTGGGCATTTTCAATTATGGTCGAGCTGTAGGTAAGATTTCTACTCCACCCGAATCTGCTAAGTTAAATAAAATGCTGCATCACCTATAATAAAGCAAGAGAATTTTATTCTCTTATTCTGCATTACTAAGTGAAAAAGTCACAAACGATGCACACCAAAACTTTATAAATATCTCATTTCCTACGAGGTTGACTTATATGTCAAATTTCTATAGTGTAAAATCGTAAGAAAATAGCCCCTAAAATGTAATTTAATCAGTTTCAGCCGCAAAATCACGAAAATTAATCTGGAACATATAGTCAAATCATCCATTTCCTCTAATAGACAGTTCTTATTATACCATTTCATAGCTTAGCATTATGATAGTATTTTAATTACTGCTATACTGCAGTTGTAGATCAGATCCTTATTTGTACCTCTGTTTTAAGATTAATCTTTAATATTAAATCGATCTATCTACTTGTTTATTAATATAGTGACACCGTCTAATGCCAAAGGCAGCGACGTTATATGGTTAAATATTGACGATATCCATTGTCAAGGACATGAAACCAATTTGACCCAATGTCTGATCTCTCAGTGGAATTCTTATAACCCTAGCAGTAATAAAACGAATAATCAGCCGCTGGATACTTTCGGCAGCTGTACTCATAATTATGATCTAAGTATTATGTGCTATTACTCATCTACACCTTATATAACTACGCCAACACCTACAAACGCAACTGTTTCACCGACAACATCCACGCTCTATCTTACACCCAATAACGTTAGTCTTGGTGCAGGCCATTCCATTAATCAAGGCTATGTACGTGTTCTATCCTATCATCATGGAATACGTCCTGTTGGTGGTATAATTTGCGTCAATCGATGGACCATGCACGAAGCAGATGTAGTCTGTCGTCAATTAGGTTTTGCAGGCGCAATTTCAGCTACAGGTGGGTGATAGTCTTTTAAATACAACATCAGTTTGATGATATATAGAGGAGGTTTAGATAGTATAGGCAGGTACAAGAAACATTTTAGACTTGAAGGGTTAAAGAGTTTCACCATTATAATATTTCCGTTTTGTAAGCAGGATCATTCACAGTCCAATCAAGAACTAATCACACACCTTGGAATATTTGGTTATCTAATGTTACCTGTAATGGATATGAAACTAAATTAACTGATTGCTGGTATGAAGCCTATGTCAATAATCCGGTCGTTGCAACTTGTCATCGTCGTCAAATTGCTTCCGTTGTCTGTCAAAATAAATCAGCTGGTATTTTATAGCAAAACTTAACCATTATTTATATGATATATAGCTTGATTATTTCTTTATATGAAATGATTATACTCTTTTTGTTGTAGCATTTACGCTATAATAAATCAATAATTTTTTTTATCCATTTCAAGTTAATCAAAGTGCTACCAGTTGTTCATTTGATAATGGTCTGTGTCGATGGAAGGTTAAATCAGGTTCTGGTAACTTACATTGGATTTGGCATAACTCTGGGAGAGAACATTTTAAACCGCTACCATCGACGCCAGGTTAATCAATCGTATCTATGAAATTTTAGACATTCATCTTGATATTATAGTAATTATTACACACAAAAATTCAGCTTCGGCATCTAATTCGTTGGTACCTTTCTATTATTTCTAGATGAAAGCTATCTGTATGTTCTTAAACCTCCTAATGATGATAGGCAAAGTAAAGCAATCTTTGAAAGTCCTATCCTACAGACCCAAGATATTTATACTGTCAATGTCAGTTTAAAAATTTTGTCTATCATCGTAATACTTTTTGATCTGCTCTATCATGGTATAGATTAATGATAGTAATGGATTTTACTGTTTTTACTTTCCAGCTGCAATTCGATCTAAGATTTGAGGGAATTCTAATTGATACACTAGCAATTGAACTAGTCGATGGTCGCTTAGGTCCACGGCAAGTTTATACCACATCGCCGGGTAATGTGCCTCAGCGAGCATGGATCTCAAAGACAGTTAAGCTAAATCCAGCATCATCTTCTTACCAGGTTAATATGACATTATAACATATCAGAAATACATAGAATAGAAGCTATCCTTTTCCTACCATAACTATTGAAATATTAATCTTAATTCGCCCTAAATATAAGCTTCGTCATATATTTAAATTAATCGTCATTATAAATTATTTTCTCTTTTAAAACTTGTAGATTCGCTTTATTGCTTATTCGAATGTGAAATTAAGATCACCATCTCTTAGTGTCATTGCCATTGATAACATTGTGATTACAGGTTAAAAGATACGAACAGAAACTAAACATCACTGTTGACAGCTTATCCTCACATATAGATAATATAGCTATAAATTGGCTTAACTAATTATTAAAACTAATTTATAACTATTTTAGATGAATTTAGCCAATCAATTATCGCCGGTATTGGTGCTGGAACGGCTGGGGCTTTGTTAATAGTTACTCTAGCTCTAATCTTGTATGCGGTTTATCGGTCACACGTAAGAAGAAAACAATATGAAGAAGAAATTAAGATAGAAAATGAGATTAAAGAAATTGCCATAGGTACTCCCTTTGGTGGTGGTAAGTTCATACAACTTTTGCAATTAGGCTATAGCTTTAAATTGAAACTTGATGAACTATTAAACCATTTTATCTGTTCTATATATCATCCAGTCCTTATATCTTTAATTAATAAGACATTATACCTGATTGAGAATAAAAGACTCATTTTCCATATCGCTTTACTTTTATAGGTAGTAATCGAGAAAGATTCAATTCAAACGATTACATGGCTTCGACAAATGTCTAATTTTAATAAATGTTAGTATAATACTTACTCTAATCAAGAAAAATTATATCCTGGAGGTTACAGCACTACATTCAACTAACTTACAACTATAACCGTAATTAATCCTTATATTACAAAATTTATTACACCTTGAATTACATTTCTACAATCTATTGACAAACCTCAGCTTCTTATGTAAATTTTTTCCTAGGTATTTTAAGCACTTATATCCGAGCAGAATTAACTTGTGTCCAAAATAACGAAATATTCATGCCCATCTACCAATTATTACTGATGCAATACACTAATAAATCTATAAGGGCAATATTTAGTAAGGTACCGGTGATAGCTTATCCTATTATTGCTGCATTTATATCTACATTCACTACATTCAGTATTAGGTCATATCCTGATTCCATATCATAAAAATGTGTTGCCTTGTACTAGTTCATTCATGCAAAGCCTCGTTAACATTCTACATAAAATAATTGAACCATTCAATATTCCGTACATAGATATATTTATATCGAAATTATCATCAATTTAATTGATAGTTTAAATTATATTATATCTTAATAATTATCTAGAAAATGTTATCTGCTTCTATATAAATTCAATTTGAACTTTTTCTCACCATCTAGTCATTATATAAGCTTTCTTTATTTATACCGTTGTGCATAAGAAACGACGCTACACGTAATATCCTACGTTGAAATTTATTAATTTATCATAATCTTTTTAAGTTAATGGGATAGACAGCGGCATATATTTATTCTACATATCTTGACATTTAATTTCTTCAATCGAGGATATTATGATTTTGGACGTATAAACATTTTTGAAACGTTTAATTAATATGATGGTTGTATTAAATTTAAATTGAATTTGTCCTATTCTTTGTGCGTACTGCAATACTTAAAAAATTAAAATCGCTCTATAATCGCATATAATGATCTGCTCAATCGAGTCACTTCTTTTGTTATTGCACAAACTACCAAAGACAAGTAATTTCATTCTTATTACATCTTTTTGTTACGCAAGAATATATGTTATATATAATAGTGTATTATTAATAGCCTATAAATCTTCCTTAAGTATAGAGAATATCTTTTGGATGCACCTTGACTAGCTTAATTAGATCAATCTCATATTTAATAGTTCTGCAAAATGTAAAGGAGCTCAAACTAGCTATATAGATATCTACATGTATATGTTTTAGAGCTTGTTTAATCTAATATACTACAGCAAAAGGATTTTAAGGCAGCTAATCTTCCATTAATCTAATAGTTAGCGCGAGAGATGAACAGAAAATTTTCCGAGTACTAAAATTAAATTCTCTATGATATCCATAGAATTAATTCAATTTTTGTATGTCAATTCTAGTTTATTATCGTCGTAATATTAAAGATTGTCTTGACGATTGGAAACTTGATAATTATAATTAGTGAAAGAGATCAAATTTTCATACTGACTTATGATACCAGGGACATCCTACTATTATAGGCAAATATAGAAGCCATTTATAAGGATTCTTTGATGAAGTGAATAAATAGGTAAATACGTATAATCATGCTAAGAAATGGCTCAATTTCTGATTTTAGGGCCACAGTGAGGCGATTAGTTTAACCATCATTGTTCTTAATAAAACTATATTCCGCCATTTTCCACTTGTTATCCATAACTTCTCTGCCTACATGATTTATTTCTTAATAACAAGCTATTTTGTCCACTTTAATTAGCTACAGCTTTCCCTGTTATTTGATCGATAAGCAAGTACAAATTTATTCCAGTGCGTATTAACAAGGTACGCAGTAAGTCTCTAATTAGCCCAACATCTTTCTATTGACTTGAAGTAGATAGTATAATCCATAAAGTCAATTTGACATTATCATGAACAGAAAATGTCGAATTATTTTAATTTTTAAGATTCCAATAACGTAAGATGATTATATGATCAAGGGCTATTATAATAAAATATGGCACACCTGTCAAATCAAAATGACA